GTCTATGACACGGAGATGATCGAGGGCTGGCGCGACACCCTGGATGTGCTGCTCGTATTCGTGCGTGTCCTTAGTTCTGACCTGCGAGCTCACAGCGCTCACGGCCGTTCCAAGGCTGGTTTATTTTCCGCAGTTGTTACGACTTTCGTCGTCCAATCCTCCACTGCGCTACGGTCCGATTATGCACAGATATCGGCGAACCTCCTCGTTGAGCTCATTGCCATCCAACGAGCATGGGCCAGCGGGTTACCCATCGACAGCATACCGCCCTCGCAGGTATCGATCGATGTCGTCACTTCGTCCGCCCTCGACCACTGGTGCAATGGCTTTTGGTTCACCAGTCTTGCTCTCAGCCTTTCGGCGGCTCTGATGGCGGTACTCGTGAAGCAATGGCTACAGGTGTGTGTCTTGTAAAATGGCCGAATCCTTGCATGGCACCTGAGCGCGTTTTGCAGGCATACAACAGCAACGTATCCGGGACTCCAAAGCACCAGGCGTTGGTCCGGCAATTCAGGCTACTCGGCGTGGAGCGCTGGAACGTCCCACTGATCGTCGGTCTCCTGCCCATGCTGCTACACCTTTCGCTCTTGCTGTTCTTCGTCGGTTTATCCCTCTACGTCATTGCACTCGATACCACCATTGCAGCCGTGGTCATCGGAATCGCAGCAACAGCCTACTCGCTCTTTATCGTGGCGAACATCCTACCTATGGTCGACTGCCAATGCCCATACAAATCACCGCTTTCGCAGCTCGTCTATATCTCCTTGCAATATATCCTCAATTCGACCCTCGAATGGCTTCGCGGGTGCGCAGGCGACAGACCTGATGTTCTACCACAGACGAGTCCATCGCCAGCACCATCCCGCTGGGCGAGTGTCGCCAGCAGGATTCTCTCGGCGATTTATAGTACTTCAGCTCAGCCACTCACGGCCCGCCCTCGGGAAGCTGCCGCGGTCACGAAACGCGAGGACAAATTGATGGTCGAGTGCCTCAATTGGGTATATTCGACATCCTCGAACCCGACTGTCATCAACATCACAGCGCAAGCTGTGTCCGGCCTACCCCATGATGTCGCGCGTATCTCGCATAGCGAGATGCGTGACGGTCTTCTCGAGCGCCTTTCTCTTCGTGTCTCACAGTACTATGGAAACCGTGACCCAGAGGAGCTGAGAGGCATCGAACGTCTCGCTCGCGGTCTGCTCTTCTTCGATATAGACGGCGACTACGTCAACTGGAGGCTTGTTAATGTGTTATCAAAGCTATATGACTCGTTGCTCGGCTGTGATGGTGCTTTCTCGAGCGAGCTAGAGGGCGTATTACTGGCACTACACAAGCATGAACAAGGCGAAGATAGGCCACCATTCGAGTTCACATTCCTCGATCGGTGGGCCCGCCTACTCCCATTTCGAAACTCGTCGCCGACTGCGCTGCAGCTACCTCCGGCGGTATGGAATGCCATGTTCCAGTTCGTTGCACATGGCACATCCCATATCAGCAACGAGCCTCGCGCTCAGCTGGCCCTCTTCCTTCTGGTTGCGTACGCCGACGACGCACCGGGCGATACCGTATCACGAAGGACGGGTCCCGTGTCGCTAGGTAGGCTATGCACGTCGGACAGCAACTCAGCACGCCTTGCGGAGTGCGCCATACGTCATGTTCTTTGTACCAACGAGTGCTCGGAACCATCGGACAATGTACGTTGAAGTATGCGTTACAGCTGTCGTGACCGCCACCTTATCAAACTTCAACAGATTGTGGGCGCCTTCCCACAGGCCTTCCTTTTGCATGCACTCCCACATGTCCTCGATATCGCAGTACGTTGGCCAAGAGACTTCCACACCGGACAAGATATACGTGCCGAAACATTCGATGCGAACATGTACTCTCTGGTATCGTACATCAAGCCATACATCTCGGAATTCAGACGTCTTCGTTGGGGCTTCTTCGATGTCGTTGCGAGGGTCGTCAAACTCTGGTGGGTAACTCCTCGCACACGCTGGCGGCTTCTGCGGCTGTACGAATACCCGACCTCTTCCTTCAGTGACCGTCGGACTCACTCCATACCACCACCAACTGTCCGGCGACTGCTGCAGCTGACAGCTAACCAGCTTCGAGCTGCGTCCGCCTTCATTGGGAGCTCGCGTCACAAAGAGGAATATAGTGGAGCTGGACTCAAGATCATAGCCCAATACTTCGAGTTAAATGATAACTTGGAGCTGGTGCTCGATGCAACGTTGAGCGAGGACATCTTCGCTAGTCTAAGCCCTCACGCCCGTGATTTCGTCGAGGATGGTAACGAATACGAAACGGACTTCCTTACGAACCTCGGATCGATATTGACGGCATACATCAATTGCATAACAAACTCGGTCGCGAACAAGGCAGCAATGGACCTTCTCGCGCCGCGGGACACGGCGCCCGCGGCACTGAAGTACCATCTCCTGTGGATCGTGGAAATTGCTATCTGCGCTGCCGAGAATGATATCTGCGCTGCCGAGGAAAAGCATACTGGATCTCATGAGTCTGGACTATTGACTCTGATACATCATGAAAGGGTCGTGCTTCTGCACCTACACCTGCAAGGTCTTGCCAAGTTGACTTCGCGCTCGCACACGCAGGCCTGGTGGGAAGTCCTGTCATCTCTCGTATCGTGCCACCTGTCAGCGCCGCGCGTTGCGAAAGCGCTCAAGAACAAAGGCGGGCGGAAGGCTTACCTTGAGCTGGCAAACGCGCTCTCGGAAGGCTTTGCGTCTGCTGGATTGGATATGCCGCAGCTGCCATCGGAGGAGGAGCAGGGCATGAGCGTGGTGACGTCCCAGAACAACGCTGCTGCAGGAGAAGAGGAGGGGACCAAAATCGAGGCGACGGAGGGACAGGAGTCGTCTCACAACTTGGAGAGCGCTAGAAAGGAGGACGCCACGGCCAAGGTCGACGAAGAGGGCGACGGAATCGAGGGGAAGGCGAAAAGTGGGGTATCTCATGTGGAAAGCTCGCGTGGAGGATGCGATGAATAATGGCGACGATGCAGGCACGCCGCGGCGGTGGATCTGGACGCGGCGCAGGTTGATCTTTCAGAGTACAGTATCACCCCGACGGCAGTGTACTCATAGATGCGCGGCGACAGGAATGTGCCCATGGACGATCTGTGCTTGCCCCATTGTACATATTCGGATGATCAAGGGCTGTGGCATCTGGAATTTTTTGTTGATTACCTACTTTCCGCTCATATCCAGACACGCAAAACTTTTACTTGAATATGCAGACTTACATAGTGAGTGAGGGCGCTACCGCCTGACGTCGATGAGTGACGGCGCTAGTACCGAGCGGCGTCGGTCGCGGACGGTGCCCTCAGCGTCGAGTGTCGGCTCTATCGGCGTCGAGTGTCGGCTCTATCGGCGTCGAGTGAGGACGGTGTCTTCGGTGTCAATCAGCGAGGACAGTAGTGCAAGCTGTCCCCGATGTCGAGAGAGGCCGCGACGCGACTGGCGTCGAGCGAAGGACGAGCTACGACTCGGCGTCGAGTGAGGGCGCTACGACTCGGCGTCGAGTGAGGGCGCTAGGGCCCGGTGTTGGGCGGGGGCGCTACCACCGGCGTCAAGTGACCGCGCCACACCGGCGTCGAGCGAGTGAAGCGGACGCCCGGCGTCGAGCACGGACGTATGGCCTGGCGTTTGAGCAAGGACGTATGGCCTGGCGTTTGAGCAAGGACGCCCGGCACTGAGCGAGGGTGCGACCGACCGGCGTCGAGTGGGAACGCCCTCGACGTCGAGTGAGGGTGCCCTCGGCGTCGAGTGAGGGTGCCCTCGGCGTCGAGTGAGGACGCGATCGCCTGGCGTCGTCGAGTGAGGTGGGCTACCGCCCGCCGCGTCGAGTGGGGAGCTTACCGCTTACGGCTCGTTGAGCGAGGGGCTTACGGCTCTACGAGCGAGGAGCTTACGGCCCGGGATGTCGAGGGGCTTACGGCTCGTTGAGCGAGGGGCTTACGGCCCGGGATGTCGAGGACGCGATCGCCTGGCGTCGAGGGTGCGACCGACCGGCGTCGGTCGAGGACGGTGCCTCCGGCGTCGGTCGAGGACGGTGCCTCCGGCGTCGAGTGGGAACGCCCGCCGCGTCGAGTGAGGGTGCCCTCGGCGTAGAGTGAGGACGCGATCGCCTGGCGTCGTTGAGTGAGGTGGGCTACCGCCTGGCGTCGTTGAGTGAGGTGGGCTACCGCCCGGCGTCGTCGAGTGAGGACGCGATCGCCTGGCGTCGTCGAGTGAGGTGGGCTACCGCCCGCCGCGTCGAGTGGGGAGCTTACGGCTCGTTGAGCGAGGGGCTTACGGCTCGTTGAGCGAGGGGCTTACGGCTCGTTGAGCGAGGGGCTTACGGCCCGGGATGTCGAGGGGCTTACGGCTCGTTGAGCGAGGGGCTTACGGCCCGGGATGTCGAGTGGGGAGCTTACGGCTCGTTGAGCGAGGGGCTTACGGCCCGGGATGTCGAGGACGGTGCCTCCGGCGTCGGTCGTAGACGGTGACCAAGGCGTCGGTCGTAGACGGTGCCTCCGGCGTCGGTCGTAGACGGTGACCAAGGCAGCGAGTGGAGACGGTGACCAAGGTGGCGAGTCGCCCCCAGTGTCGAGTGACGCGACCGCCCCCAGTGTCGAGTGACGCGACTGCCCGGCATCAAGTGAGTGACCGCGTTGTTGCCCGGTGTCGATACACGGTTGACGGGGATAGGGACGTGTAACATGTGCAAGACAGCGGGAACGGGCGCTCAGAGGACAGCGGGAACGGGTGCCGGGAGGATGGTGGAAACGGGTGCCGGGAGGACGGTGGGAAGGCTGGAAGTACAGTGGGAAGGCTGAAAGAAAGGCGGGAAGGCTGGAAGTACAGTGGGAAGGCTGAAAGAAAGGCGGGAAGGCTGAAAGAAAAGCGAGCGTGCTGAAAGGACAGCGGGGACGGGCGCAAAGAGGACAGCGGGAATGCTTGGTAAAAAAAAAACGTGTGTAACACTCGAGTTATTGCATTAAGGGGGAATCGAACCCCCGGCGGGTCGAAAATCACACAAAGTTCTTTTCATGGCAACGACCCAGGTTACCACTACCCCATTAATGCGTGGGTGATGGAGGTGGGAGAGGGGTTTGGGGAGGGAGGGAGGGTAAAGAGAGAGAAGGGCAAAGAGAGTGAGGAGGCAGGAAGAGAGGAGGAAGGGTGAACGAGGAGGAAGGGCGAGCGTGTGGAAGAGTCAGGGAGAGGTGGAAGGAGCGTGGGAAGAGGCGGATAGTGAGCATGCCATCATTGGTGCGTGCACGACGGTGACGCATGTCGACTGACGTGGGCTGCTTCGGTCGCTTCGCTGTGGGAAGCCGTAACGGTGTGTGGCGAAGGCGTGTGTGGCGAAGGCGTGTGTGGCGAAGGCGTGCGTTGGGATGACGGGCTTCGAAGCCGTAAGAAGGAGGCGCGGGAGTTGGAAACATAAGGTGTGTGTAGAGGTAAAAATGCACGATACAGGCCTTGTAGCTAGCAGCGACAGGACAGGAGGGCGGCAGGCTGCAGCTAGCTGTGGAAGTACGAGAGGAGGGGGCGCGCATTGTCCGGCTGCTCGGGCCGAAGTGCTTCGATCGCGTCTTGGGGCGGCGCATGACGCGCCTCCGTCTTCCACTGTGGTCAGCTGCACGCCCGGCACTCCGCGCAACGGGAGCGGCCCCGAAACCGCGTTTGGATATGTAGTGAGGCCGGCCTAACAGCGCCTGACTGTTTTCCATCGCCCGCCATGTCGAGCGCACCGACGAACACGACGACGACGCCGAAGAAGGGCCCGTACCCATTCTACCTCGGCGGCGTCGCAGCCACCATCGCTGCCTCCATCACACAGTGCGTGCGCCTTGCGTCTGTGTGTTGCACGATGCTGACCGTCGCACGCAGCCCCCTCGACCTAACCAAGGTCCGCCTCCAGGCGAGCGGCGACAAGCGCATGATCGCCTCCCTCCAAAAGACCTACCGCGCAGGCGGCGTCCTCGGGCTCTTTGATGGCATAACCGGCACCTGGCTTCGTCAGATGTCCTACTCGGTCTGCAGGTCCGTGTATCGCGCCTTTGAGCCATGCACTTCCTTAACCACCCCCCAGATTCTGGGCCTACGACGAATCCAAGAAACTCCTCGGCGCCACCAAGGACTCCGGCCCCGGCACCCTCGTCGCCGCGGGCGCCATGGCAGGCGGCATCGCCGGCGCGATCGGCAATCCGGGAGGTGCGTATACTCTCCACGCACCGAGTCGTGCCATCGCATACACGGAACGTTGCTGTTGTGCTTGACCGTCAAACTCACTCTTATCCTCAGAAATCGTCATGGTCCGCCTCCAGGCCGACGCCGCCAAACCCCCCGCGCAGCGCTACAACTACAAGAACGCGCTCGATGCGGTGTGGAAGGTGGGTGTCTCACTCCGCTTCTTACCTCTCTCCTTATATCACGCTAACGAACACTTACCAAATCCTGACAGATGCTCACCACCGAAGGCCCCTCCAGCCTCGCGCGCGGCCTCGGGCCGAACGTGTTCCGCGCCGTCCTCATGAACGCGAGTCAGATCCCGGCGTGAGTGATTTTTTCCCTGCAGATTCCGGCGTGAGTCGTCTCGCTCAGTCTTTTCCCCCCTTTCGACGCTCAGTCTTTTCCCCCTTTCGACGCTCAGTCTTTTTCCCCCCTTTCGATGCTCAGTCTTTTTCCCCCCTTTCGACGCTCAGTCTTTTCCCCCCCCCCTTTCGAGGCACGACCCCTCTTCCTTCACTCCCCTCCCCCGCCCCGCCAGGGGGGTTCCTCTTCCCCCTTTCTTCGCCCCCCTTGCCCACCCCCCCCCCTCTCCACCCCATCCCCCCTCCACCCCCTTCCCCCCTTCCTTCGCCCTCACGCTCCCCACCTCTTCCACCCCCCTCCCCTCTCCCCCTTACGTGCCCGCTCACCCCTCCAAATAACACCTCCTCTAACACATCTGCTCCCCTCCCCCACTATAATACCTCCCCCCCCCCCCCTCCCCCGTCCTCAAAAAACTAACCCCCCCAACCTCTCCTACGTGCTCACCTCCCCCATCCCCCACTATAATACCCAACACCCCCCAACCCAACCTAAACTAACCTCATAACCTCTAGCTACGACTTCACCAAATCCCGGCTCCTCCTCGCCGGTTTCGGGGACACGACGGGGACGCATGTGATGGCGAGCGGGGTGGCTGTGAGTTCTTGTTTATTGGTGTTTTTTTCTTTATTTTTTTGAATTGGGGGTTTTTTTTTGAATTGGGGGTTTATTTTTTGAATTGGGGGTTTTTTTTTTGAATTGGGGGAGGGGGGGGAGAGAAGAGCTGGCTGGCTATGGGGTATAAGAGGCGTGTTGTTGGCTGAGGGTTACAGATGGATGACCCCCTGGCGGGGGTTACAAGAGGCTGACACATCTCGTTCACGCAGGGCACGGTGGCCACGACGGTGTGTTCGCCGGCGGATGTGTTGAAGGTGCGCGGAAGGGTTTGGTTTGAGGGTCGGTCGTGGCATATATCCCCTTGTCGGGGGCATTAGGGCCTCTGGTCGGGGGCATTAGGGCCTCTGGTCGTGACATATCCCTCCGACTGTCGTGGCACATGTCCCTTGGACTGTCGTGGCATATCCCTTCGACTGTCAACTGTCGTGGCATATGTCCCCTTGTCGTGGCATATATCCCCTTGTCACGGTCCCTCTGCCCTCATTCGTCAGCGTCCCTCTGCCCGTTGTTGTTGTCAGCATCGGCGTCGTCGTGGTCCCTCTGCCCGTTGTCGTCACCGTCCCTTTGCCCGTTGTCGTCAGCGTCAGCATCGGCGTCGTCGTGGCCCTTCGTCCGGCAGCGTCGTGGCGTCGTCCGTCGTCCGTCGTGCGTTGTCCGCCGTCGTCGTTGGTCGTGGCGTCGTCGTCGTCGTCCGTCGTCGTCGTCGTTGGTCGTCGTTGTGGCGTCGTCCGCCGTCGTCCGCCGTCGTCGCCGTCGTGGCGGGAAAGCACGGGGAGGCGGGAAAGCATGGGGAGGCGCGGCCCTTGTCCAGCGCACGGAGGCGGTTGCTGACGTGTGTGTGTGTGGAGGCGACGCGGAGGCGCACGGAAGGTGCGGCGTACGGGAGGCGCTGGGGGGGGGGGGGGGGGGGGCACTGGTCGGCGCACCGTCGGCGACTCAGCGTCGTTACTCGCCGTGTCGGGCTCAGCATCGGCATTCTCTCCTCTTCCCCCGTCGTCGCGCCTAATACTGACACCCCTAACCCCCCATCAGAGCCGCATCATGAACGCCTCCGGGCCCGGGTCGAACGTGAGTCCCGAGTTCACTGGCCCGCCTCGTCGCCTGGCTGACCTCGCTTTCGTCATCCCCGCCCATCCTTCTACCCCCGCCTCTCCTCAACCCCATCGCTACTCACCCCCGCCTCTCTCCCCCCCTCGCCTCCCACCCCCCTCCCATCCCTGACCACACCCCAAACCCATAACCCAGTCCACCCTCACCGCCATCCGCACCGCGCTCAAGAATGAGGGGCCGTTGTTTGTGTTCAAGGTGGGTTCGTTTCTTGTCTTTGTTTTCTCTCTTTGTTTTTTCTACGTTGCCCTCCTCTCTCTTCTTCGCTTTGTTTTCCCTTTGTGTCGCTCACGCTCCCCCTATCCCACGTCGCTCACCCTTCCCCCCCCTTACCCCCTTAACCTATACATCACTAACACCCCCCCCTATCCCTACCTCCCTCCCACCCCTTACCCCTTTAACCCTCTCACCCCTGCCTTCCCTTCACCCTCGCACTCTACCCTCTCTTCTTCCCACCCTCTCCCCCTCTCTCTTAAAACCTAAATTTAACTAACGTAACCTCCTCCACCTATACGTCGCTCACCCCCCCCCCTAAAAACTGAATGAGAACTAACAACCTCCCCTCTACCAGGGCTGGCTCCCCGCCTGGACCCGCCTCCAGCCGACCACGGTGCTCATCTTTGTGGTTTTTGAGAGGTTGAAGGGGGTGTGGGATGGGGTTTATAGTGGGTAGGGGGGATGGGGGTGTGATGTGTGGGGAGGGGGTGGGGGGGAAGCTTAACGGCGGAATGTACTTATAAACAATGTATCCTGTGATGTTTACTTCAACGTGTGGATGGTGGTTAAAATAACCTTGTGGTGGTAAGTTCCCTTTCCTTCCCTTCTTCTCCCTTCCCTCCTCCCCACCCTTGAGGCCTTACCGCTCCCACACCCTCCCTCCTTTACTAGTACTCCTCCTCGTCCTCTCTCGCAACCCTCCTCCTCCTCTTTCCTTTCCCCCCCCATCCTTCCCCAACCCAACCCCCCCCCCCCCCCCCCCTTCGCCCAAGCATTAATGGGGTAGTGGTAACCTGGGTCGTTGCCATGAAATCATCGCACTAGATCTCTTGACTCGACCCGCCGGGGGTTCGATTCCCCCTTAATGCACTGTTCCAAAGGTTTCGATTGCTTTTTTTCTTTGCTTGCTCGCTCGTTGGTGGACCTTTTTTGTTTTTCACTGTCGGCTTTTCTTATTTTTGACGTTGGCAGGCGGAGGATTGAGGTGGCAGGCGGAAGGGTGGAGAGAAGAAAGGGTGGAGGGAGGTGGCAGGCGGAGGATGGAGGTGGCAGGCGGAAGGGGAAGGGGAAGGGGAAGGGGAAGGGGAAGGGGAAGGGGAAGGGGAAGGGGAAGGGGAAGGGGAAGGGGAAGGGGAAGGGGAAGGGGAAGGGGAAGGGAGGGAAGGGAGGGCAGAGGTTGACAATTTCCAAACAAGAGCGGGACACGAGAATATTTTATTGCATAGGCTACGAAATGTACATGCGTATATTACTTACGTTACAGAGTCACTGCACTGCCGAGATTCTCGAAGGATGCCCTCGCATCTCGTGGATGATGCCCACCTCCCCCTCACTGCTTCCCACCTCTCTCGCTGTCCCTACCTCCCCCTCGCCTCTCCTCTTCCCCCCCCCTCGCCTCTACCCCGCCTACTCCCCACCTCCCCTCTCGCTGCATCCCCACCTCTCCCACCTCCCGTGTCCCGTCTCCCCTCGCCTCTCCTCTCCCCACTCGCTGCCCCTCTCCCATCGCTGTCCGGCCCACCTCCACCAGCCGTGTGCAGATGTAGAAAGGGAGCACTGACGACATGCGAAAGGGACAGGGGCGACGAACGGGATGGGGAAGGGAGAGGAACGACGTCGGGGAAGGGGACAGGGGCGCCGGGATGGGGAAGGGAGAGGGGCGACACAGGGAAAGGGAGAGGAACGACGGGATAGGGATGGGGAAGGGAGCGACGACGCACAGGGAGGGAGAGGAGGGCCGACGACGTCGGGAGGGGGAAAAGACCGACGCGAAAGGGAGCACCGACGACGCGAAAGGAAAGGGAGCACTGACGTACGGGAGGGGAAAGGAGCACTGACGACGCGAAAGAAAAGGGAGGCACCGACGTGCTAGAGGGAGCGCCGACGACGCGCGAAAGGGAGCGCCGATGCGTAGGGGAAAGAAGCGACGTGCGGAAGAGAGCACCGACGACGCGCCGGAGAGGAGCGACATCCATCCGGGAGAGGAGCGACACGTAGGGACAAAGGTCGACGAACAGGGAGAGGAGCGACGGAGAGGAAGAAGAACGATGGAGAGAGGAGTAACGCGTAAGGAAAGGGGTGACGGGCAGGGAGAGGGGCGACCCGAAAGGAAAAGGGAGAGGAGAGTAGCGACGCGTAAGGAAGGGAGCGCCGACGACGCGCGAAAGGGAGGGACCGACGCGAAAGGGGAAAGGGGTGGCGACGACGTGCTAGAGGGAGCGCCGATGACGCGCGAAAGGGATCACCGACGACGCGCGAAAGGGAGCGCCAACACGACACGCAGAGAAGGGAAGCGCCGATGACGTGCAGGAGGGAGCTCCGACGTCGGGGAAGGGGAAAGGGGAGCGCATACACGACGCGCTGGGAAAGGAGGGATGAGCTGGGAAAGGGGAAAGGGGTGGCGACGTACGGGAGGGGAAAGGAGCGCCGACGTACGGGAGGGGGAAAGAGTGATGCGCAAGGAAAGACCGAAGCGCGTAGGGAAAGGGAGCGACGCACTGGAGAGGAGCGACGGCGGACGCACACGGAAGACCGACGGACTGTGAGAAGAGCGACGTGAACGTGCGGGTAAACAAGAAGATGAAGAAGAGGGAGAAGATGAAGCAGAACGAGAAGACGGAGATGAACGAGAGGGTGGAGATGGAGATGGAGATGAAGATGAAGGCGGAGAGGAGCGAGAAGGCGGAGACGGACGAGCGGCTGTGATAGGATACCTGGATACGACAGTATACGGGCCTGGATGCGACAGTATACGACCTGGATGCGACAGTATACGGGCCTGGATGCGACAGTATACGGGCCTGGATGCGACAGTATACGACCTAAATACGACCTCGTCAACAAAGACGAGCGTGAAGGAGCAAGACGAGCGTGAAGGAGCACGACTACGTACCTGTCCTTTTCGCAACTGTCCGTCGTCTGTCCTGCACCTGTCCGTCGTCTGTCCTGCACCTGTCCGTCGTCTGTCCTGCACCTGTCCGTCGTCTGTCCTGCACCAGTCCTTCGTCTTCGCAACTTGCAACCGTACTTCATGTTCGCAAAGACTCCGCGCCATCTGCCGTCCCTCCAGCGCCATCCGCCGCCCCTCGTGCTCGCGGTTGAGTCGTCTCGTGCTCGCGATTGAGTCGCATCCATCGCCGCCCCTCGTCGCTTCTCCCAGCTGTCCTCCCTCCCAGCTGTCCCTCGCAGCAGAGTCGTCTCAACGTCCATCGCCGTTGCATCGTGCTGCGGGGAGGCGCGTTCCGATAGCGGGAGGGGCGATAGCGGGAGGCGCGTTATGATAGCGGGAGGCGCGTTATGATAGCGGGAGGCGCGTTATGATAGTGGGAGGCGCGTGCCAATAGCGGGAGGCGCGTTATGATAGCGGGAGGCGCGTTATGATAGCGGCAGGCGCGTTATGATAGCGGGAGGCGCGTCATGATAGCGGGCGACACGATTTGCTGAAGGGAGACGTGTAACGGCGGTTGCCGTCACCGGCGCTGCGAGCGCCAGGAAAGGATATAGCGTCGAGGGAGATGGACGCAGTCAGTGACTCGGAGGAGGATGAGGATAGCGTGGTCCGCAAAGAGCACTGGGCGGCTTGGAAAAGACATCTGCACGCACCCACATTTACGGAAGCAATCACAGGTCTACTCATGAACTCAACGTTTGCGTTTTCATTGCATACTGCTTGCGTGCATGAAAACGGTTTTGCTTAAATAGCATCCTGAGGGATCAGCTCGACAATGTAGTGAAGCTCGACAACGTAGTGAAGCTGGGGAAGAGATTTGTGCCCGCAAATGTCCTTGACAATCGCCCAGTGCTTATTCCAGACCTTTTCCGGCTCATCCGTCTCCTCCGGCTGTATTCTTCCAAAAGTCCTGGCAAGGGTGACTGCCTTTTCCCGCGCGCGCTGCTTGTCCTGTATGTGGTCCACGAGCAGAATAGCGAGTGGAAATTCCACCGCCCACGACGGCGCAGCGAATGATTGGTTGAAGCTGGCTAAAAAAACTGCGCTTGCCAGCATTAGGGTCTTGCACATTGGTCCACTCCACTACCTCCTGAGGGGTGACCGGTGACCCGCCGCCGTTTTCCCTCGTTGTAGCAGCACATGATCCAGACGAAGACCCATATCAGGGCCTCCAGGTCATGGTGGTAGAGATGACGGACTGCTGCGCGCATCGAGACTGCTGGACCGCGCATCGAGACTGCTGGACCACGCATCGAGACTGCTGCTCCGCGCATGGAGACTGCTGGACCGCGCATGGAGATTGCTCCGCGCATCGCTCTAGGGGTGAGGACTCGATCTCAGACGGCCACGAAGGGGATTGTTCCGGATCCACGGTGTGTCTGCAGCGCCCCGGCGCCGATGCCGATCACGAGATCCCAATCGTTGAGAACTGCGTAGATGCGTCCATCCTGGCAACGATACATGACAGCCGTTTGCAAGATGCGTGTTGTGCACGCGCACCGCCTCGGCATGTCCCGGCCGCGGTACCGCCCGTGGCTTGATCACGTGTGTTGCGCCTGACTTGAGCCACGCGAGTCGTCAAGCCCCGCGGCCGCATACCATCGAAAGCCTCACAGGCAAGATAGCTATCATCTATCCTCGCGCGTAGACTGCAATTGCTTCGACGGTAATTTCTTCGTCTCGGGCCCGTCCCTAGAGCCATTTCAGCCGCCCCAGGCATGCGCGACGCGCTCTTGATCGCTCCGAGTCGTGAACGCTTTGTTCAGGAAACTGGCATCGGAAAGGAGACTGACATCGGGAAGGAGACAGTCGTATATCCGAGTGAGCCCTGTACAGTCCCCTCGGATCATCCGAAGCCTGTCAATCGATTATGGACGAAAGAGTCCACTGTTTCTGCTTGGTTTCAATGCAAACTTGATGGTATGATACTCGACCTCCCTCCGGTGCGTGCGACTCTTTGACTGATACGTACTACCCGCAGTGCACGATCCCATCGAAATCCATCGCAACTGGCCCGTCGATATCCATCGCAAAGGTCCTGCTTGCACCCAGCCCACGAACCCCATGTACCACTGCCAGCCCGGTACACGTGTCTTCGCGGTCCTCAACGACTGGGACCTCGGCACCGACACTACACACCGTAGCTTCGGCACCGGCACGATCCCCTTCATGGCCACGATCCCCTTCATGGCCATAGATCTCCTCTCTCCTGAAGCGATGCGCGGAGAGGTCCGTCATCTCTACCGCCACGACCTGGAGGCCATGATCTGGGTCTTCGTCTGGATCATGTGCTGCTACAACGACGGCAAGCGGCGGACTGTCCCCGAAGAGGTGGCGGAGTGGACTGTGCAAGACCCTAATACTGCGGACAACGTCAAGCGCAATTTCTTGAGCAAGTTTATGCCAACGGTCACGGCGCCCTCCTGGACACTGGAGTTCCCACTTGCAAACCTTCTCGTCCGAGAGATTGATCAACGCGAGAGCCAGCGCAAAATTGCGATCAGCGACGCCGCTGTCTTCGGGGTAGTGGGCACAGAGGAGGTTGACGAGCCGCGCAAGGTTTGGAAAGAGCACTTGGCGCTTGTTAGGGATATTTGCACGCACAAAGCCCTTCCCCAGCTTGGATACATCTTCGATCTGATCCCTAAGGATGATGATTGAGTAGTACTATTTCTATACACGACAGTACGCAATAGGCACTGAATGTTGAGGTCATGGAATGAATACTATGTATGTTTCAGCTTCCGTGACCTCTCAACACTGCGCATTGGGCTAGTGAAGCACGAAGAGACGCCAGACATGTGCCGCCGTGAAACTCGAGCCAGCAGATTACTTACGAAGAGATTGTCAGCGTTCGAGATACTCTCGATTTCCGAGAGCTCCTGGTCCGTCCTGTGGCAGCCGTAGCCGGCGTCGTAGC